TAGCCGAAGATCGTGGGTTCGAATCCCGCTCGTGCCATTAACTTTTTTTCATCTCAATTAAAAACCTTAATTAATTGTATTGTATTAATTGGTCAAGCGGGCCACGAAATTAGTGAATTTATTGTCATAATCGATATTGTAGTTACATATCGAACAAAGATTATTATAATTTTGTCTCTAGGGTTTGATGAATGAAGTTTATCATTTTGGTTCTTAATTTAAAAAATAAGCTACCCTTATTATTACAGAAATGGTTGATGCAATCTAGACCATGGTGTAACTGTTTGCAAGAGAGGTGGAATCTTGCTGCAGATACATTGGCCACTTATCTAACCCTTTTCTTTGAACCTGAGCTTCTCCAAATGTTACAGCGATGCCACCAATATATTCAGTACGGAATCTGTTCGTTTCCGAATCTGTATTCATGGAGATTTCGAGTTCCTGGGTTTTCCAACCAGACCTATACCCAACCAGTCTTTAACCTCCCATTTTCGTGAATAACCAAATTAGCCAGGTTGTTATGATCATTGAATTGGCTATAAAAATGGAATATCATTTAAATCGATCGCATAATTGGGCATATTTTGAAAATATTTTTTCACTGCTAGCCGTTGATTTTTTTTTAACTTGCATATTTTCTAAACTCTCAAACTTGCGCTGCGTAACATTCCATTGAACGTGTGACTGCCTGAAACACTTTCCACAAAACCCAAAACTACTTTTTTTTAATATTTTCCACAAAGTTCAATTAAAGTCTAATTTGGCTAGTTTTATTTTGTTCATCAAATGTATCGTGAAATTTAACTGTGATCTCAACGAGATCCCCAAATATTTATGTTTCAACTATTTCTAAAATTTCATTTTTAAACTTCCACCTTTCGTTTGGCCGTAAATTACGTTTATTCTTTTTATCATAATTTTTGATTTAGCGGTATTAACTGCAACTTGTGAAATTCAACTGTGATGTCAATGAGACTGCAACAGTTCCGTGACTGACTGGCAAACAACGCACAGACCAAACCACTGGATCTAAAGGGCTGAAATTTCGACAATGCATTCCTATAATCACAAGGATAGCCGCTAAGAAAGGATTTTTTAAAATTCCATCCTTTAGGGTATCATATGAAAAATTATGTATCATGTATAGGCCGAAGTAAACTGAAGAAGAAAAGAATTTGAGAAACCATACATTATATTAGAAAGCCATTCTAGCACTCTGCATCCCATTAAAATGATGCATAAAACCAGAGAGCCGCGTCGACGTCGCGGTAAAATATAGTATTATATTCACTAGTTTTCGTGGTCCGCTTGACCAATTAATTAATATCTTTCAATTAATTAACGTTTTTAATTGAGATAAAAATTTAATTTAAAATTTTCTAGTATTTATATATTTCAACTATTTTTAAAATTTCCTTTTTAAATTTCCAGCTTTCGTTTGGTCGTAAATTGTTTTTAAATATCATATTTTTTTATTTGGCGGTATTAACATTAAACTATCAGTATCCACAATACATTTATAAATCTTCTATAATTTTTTGTAAAACGAAAGGAAAGGATTACCAGCAATACCATATCATCAGCGTACATTAACAGTTTAATTTTCCTGTTTCTGACTCTAACTCTACCTCCTAAACACTTTGATAGAACATCTATAAATAAAGCAAATAGCGAGGGGCTTAGAACGCATCCTCGTTGGGCGGCAGAAGATGTTGAAAATCATTCCGAAAGGTTTTACCATCCCGGATTGCAGATTTTGTTCTTCGTAAATCCTTACAACGCCCTAATGAATTTATAGTATACACCTAGATTACTCTGTTTGAAAAATAGAGCATTCCGATGTGCAAAGTCAAAGGCGGCGGAAAAATCACCAAACAACACAAATTTTGTTCGTTCTTGTGTATATTTCCAAACTCTCGTGATGTGAATCCTAATGGGCAATACTTTCAGAAATAAAATATATTATATAGTCAATTAATATTACGTAATGCGTGAATGCTGGTCATTGTGGATTTTGGAAAAAATCTATTGTTTTCTTAAAAGATAAATATATTTCAATGCCCACTCCTTTGTCATGTGTTTTTCCGACATATGCAAAAACTGACTTAGTCACAAAAACAAAACGATGCGTGTAAGAAATGTAAAATTTTGGGGGGAAAATCGGCCATAATATATAAGAAAATTTAACACAATATCAGACGATGAAGCGATGTTAGAAATGTCTGTCAGATGTTTGGTGGACTTTTTCTTGCTTGTAATAATGTCTATTTTGCTCGTGATTTTCGTAAGCTTGTGGTCATCGGAATAATCTGTCCCGTCGAACAAGTCGGTTGAGAAATCGTGCTTCAACGCGAACCGCGAGAAAGGCGATTAGCGGAGCACTACGAAGAAACAAAATGCATTATGATCCAGAAGAGTGTTCATCAGAAGAGCAATCTATTTCAGAAAATAAAAGTATGAAACCCTTAAAAAAGCACGACTCGTAACAAAAAGTAATACAGTTAGCAATTTTGTAAAACTTACAAACGCAAGATATAGTTTTTTTAATAATCACAACTATTTCCAAGAAGCAGATGAACACACAATGATCTCGAACAATAAATCCATTACATAAAACTTAGTACTTTTAGCAAATCCAGGTTGTAAAAAAACTAACATCAAACTATCTATTTTTAAACAAGTACAATACTACTGACCATTATTATTTATCAAATACTTGTACAAAATGTGAAATGAAAAAAGCTACAGGGACGGTAACCTTGTTTCCATTATTGTTAAAAACCTTTCTATAAAATAAAGCATTCAATTTACTTAACCATTCTGATAAATCATATGTTCTTACTTGCACAATTGCATTTTTCTTGGAGGTAGTTAAAGCTACATTCCCAAACCTAATAAATATCACACTGTGCCTGGAAACTATAGTCCCAACTATAAACTTCTGTTCAGATGACCTCATCTCATCTCTGAATTACTGCTCTGGCAGCCGGAGTGTTCTGATCATTTGATAGGCAATGTACAAGTGACTAAACAACACTACTGAATAAAACCAATGTGTCTACCTATCTAATGTATGGTTTCCTTTACGTTTTTTCAATTATTTGGTTAGTACAGTCATTTTAGTCGTTTTCCCATACACTTTTTTTGGACATACCATTCATTACTTTTATTCTAGCTAGCTCTTTTTATTTATTTTCTCCTTCATTCTCTATTCTTGACCCCGCTCTCGCTCTCTCTCACCTTCACCCTCTCCCTCTCCCTCTCCCTCCCTCTCACCCCCTCCCTTCCTTTCACTCAGTCTCTCACTCTCTCACTCTCTCTCTCTCTCTCTCTCTCTCTCTCTGTCTCTGTCTCTCTGTCTGTCTCTCGCACTCTCTCTCTCACTCTCTCTCTCTCTCTCTCTCTCTCTCTCTCTCTCTCTCTCTCAGTCTCTCTCTCTCTATGCCTTTTTTCGTGAATGGCAATAGAGGCGTTCACGACCTACATTCACGAAATATTAAAAAAACTATATTCATCCGTTATCTTTCTCACTCTCTCTCCCTCCCTTTCACCTTCTCTCACTCAGTCACTCTTTCCCACTTAATTTTGTCTTTCTTTTCTGACTTTTTCCTCAATCATTCTCTCTCTTTTCCAGCTCAATTTCTTTTTCGTTTTCCTCTCACATTCTCCTCTAGCCCTCTATGTTATTCTTTTCCACACATTTCTCTTTCTCTCTCTCTCTCTCTCTCTCTCTCTCTCTCTCTCTCTCTCTCTCTCTCTCTCTTTTCTCGCTCCCTCTCTTTCTCTCACTCACTCTCTCTCTCTATCTATTTATCCATCTATCCATGTGCCTCTCTATCTATCTATCTGTCTATATATCTCTAGCTTTTCTCATAAATCGTAACAGATGCAGTTCACGACCTAAATTAAAATATATTTTAAAAAAATATATTCGTTCATTCTCTCTCCTCCACTTTTCTCGCTCTCTTTCTCTCTTTCACACATACTCACTTACTCTCTCTTCTGGCTATTGCACCACGGCAATCTTCATTTTTCGAAACAATATTTTTATTTATTTATTAACCGCTGCAAATGTACGACAATTGTAACAAAGAAATAATCTTGAAGCGGGATCAAGTACACTTGGTGACCATAACAGAGGACGGTGTACTGTGGATTAATTTGGTATATGTTGAACAACAAAAGTTGTTTCAGATAAATCCACATGTAATTGAAAACATTTTCAGTACGGTTTCATCCCTTAAATTTGCTTTATGTATTAACTGTATTAACATATAAAACAGATTTAAACAATTTCAAAAGTATTATTAAATTATATTATAACCTTTATGTTTTATTAAAAAAATTCTTGCGTACCTGGAGCCAACCAAATGACTTATCATTAACTCAAAGAAGAAAGATAAAAGTTTGTTCTAGTCAAAACACAACACGATGTATAATACAGACGAGACTTCAATCACAATTAACACGGAAACAACACTCTCATCATTAATGAAACCAGACTAAATACACAGCACAAAACACCGTTGAAGATGGCGTAATACCGACTGACTGATTAATGAAGCAAAATACGGAAAGATCGGAAACGGACAAACTGAAAGTTTTAAAATCTTTAATTTTTTCAGAAAATATTGTTTGAGATGTTACATTATTTCTAGTTCTGGTAGAGAGAAACACGCGACCAGATGGGTTAGTTAAGTAAAAAGCAATGCAAAACGGGCGGATTGTTAGCATGATAAATGAGGTAAATATAATTTCGTGGATGGGAGGCTTCCTTATCACGTACCACCAGTTATCGGACATGGAAGCGAATACCCATCAATCCAAAGCCAGCCACGCCGCCCCTTTCGACGGGAGGAAATTAATGTAAAGTTTGCCCGGAGCACGTGTAGGAAAGCCGGGGAAGAAGCGCGTCTGGCGTCCTCGAATCGACGCGGGACGAATCAAAACATTTCCATAAAAACATATTTTCACGATATAAAAATTTGGCCTTTTTCCAGGTGGTATGATGGGGCGAGGAGGCGGGGAGCCGGTGGACGTGTGACAGGATGCATGCTGCCATCGAACGGAATTCATGGCGACTTCCGCCGGAAGATATCGTCCAAGTGGCCGACCCCCGGACGAAGAAGGCTCAGGTAGGCTGAGATAAAAATGCATTTTCGCCTTCAAAAATGTCCATTTTGATGGATTTTTTTTCCTTATGCAAACAAAAAATCACAGTATATTCTGCTATAATGCAACACGCTGGCCGGGTCAGGTTTCGCTCGAATCTTGCGTGAGAACAACCCAGCTCTGAATATGTCATCTTCATTGTCAACGTTCAGACATTTTCTCGCCATTTATTTCGTGTCAAGAGATAACCGAATTATTCTAATGTGCCATGGCTCTGCCAGAAATATTCTGCGTTACGTTCACTGTCAACCTCTGTACATTGTGAAGAAAATATAACACAATTTATACCGTAAATGTTAAAACAATGAAGAATGACATTTAACATTGTATGAGTATGAGATATGCGTTTAGAGTCATACAGGCAAAATGGACATGACATTTTCAATTTCAATGTAAATAAATTTCGTCCATAATAAAATAAAACCTCAGGAGGATAAATCAGACACATAGTTAGTACACAATATTACGCACTGATTTGTTTACGTTTTATTATTATACTATTTTGTCAATAATCTTATTTGAATTTTCTGATTGAGTTTATTTCGTTTAAATTTTGCTTAACTTCAACGTCATAAGATATAGTTCGTAAGTTACATATTTAAAATTATAAAAATTTCACTGTCGTACATTTTCATTAAGTTTTTATTATAGTTTATTCTTGGCAGAGCAAATGGTACCGGGATTGAACAACGAAATTGTGAACAGAGCGCAGGAGGAGTGCATAATTACCTTAGTTATAAAAGAGTGCATACAGTATGTATATATTTGTGTGAATGTTTATGTATACAAGAATATTACCAACTGCTATATCTTTTAATATACGATGGCCAATCTGCGGATTGTCTAAGAAAAAATTCTTTGATAAAATGTTATCTGATGTGGTAAATAAAAATAAGGGAGGAACGGGAGGCGCACAGTTGGGCAAAGGGGGCTAAAAATCGATTTCTTAAAAACTGAAATTTTGATAATCCACTTCACTTTTCTGACAGTATTTGAGTCAGACAATAAGTCTGTAATAATGTTTTTACGGTTAAAAATTTATCAAAACCTGTAATCACTGCTAAAACCTGAAAATTATAAATTGTGCAAGATATAGAGCTATTTTATAAACTTTACTCCCCCCCAGTTGTTCATTGCAAAAACTCGTTCACCCTAATTTCCTTTTATTTACACCCCAAATATGAGATAAAGTCAAAAATTCAACGTTGGGACGGAATAAGGGGGGGGGTTAGTTGAGGGAATACCAGCGATATTCCAGGAATATTCGGTTTTTGAAACATTCAAGAAAAGATTCGTTGTTTTTTCCTTTGGCATACTGTTTTTTCGATCTATGCACATAAAAGTACGATTTCTGTGGTTTTCAACTGCCTAGTCCTTCCGATCTGCTTGCAGTACAATTTTGAATACAACTATTTAGCCTGAAATCTCAAAAATACTATAAATCTGGCCATTTTTTGTTTAATTGAAGGATTGCGCCTTAACTTTTACTGTTCTTTTATTGGGTAGAATTGGAATCAGATATCAGAAATATCGAACCATGGAACGTTTTCTTTAATAAAAAGGTACATCTGTAAAGGATCACAAACATTCGTTTCATTTCGGTCGAAGTGCAAAAAGTGGTTAAAATGGGTAGTAGGTGCATAATTAAAGTTATTAGTTGTTACTTTATAGTTATTTTGTCTGTTCAGTTTTTATTTATTATACATTCTTGAGATAACAAATCATTGTAATTGCTCAGTGTATTGATACTAATTGGTTTCCATTTATTCATTTAATAACTTTTAATTAATAATTAAAATTTGAATAAATCCATTTAAAAAAGTCAGTTTATTAGTCTAACATAAATAGTAAAACCAAATAAAAAATTACCATGGGAAGCTCTTGAATTCAGCTGTTTTTTTAAACGTAATTTTACAATTTTTAATGAGAAATTTATTGGGAAAACGTGGGAAAGCTTAATTTCGGTTCCCTGAAAACGGTATTTTTGATGATTTACTTGCGAAAAAAAAACTTAATGCCTTTTTCGTGGCAATATTCGTGATCAGTGTTAAATTTTGTACGGTTCGCTGTGGTCCAATCGATTCGAGAACAGTTTAATTGGATTCAGCGCACCAAAAAGCCTAAAACTACAAAATTTAGGAAACTTACCTCAAATAGCTTAGGTGTTCGGAATGTTGTCAGCTGTTTTGCGTTTTGGCCCCAATGTGCGGTTCGATTCCACCATCATCTCTGGAATTATCGTTCACCCTCCCCTCCCTCAAAAATATGATATGCAGGGTAATTTCTTTTGTGCCAACTGTTTTTCGCTTCTATACACATCGAAGTACGATTTCTGTGGTTTTCAACTGCCTATTCTTTCCGATCCGCTTGTAGTACAGTTTTGAACAGAGCTATTTAGCCTGGAATCTCGAAAATACTATAAATTTGGCCACTTTTTTTAAATTGAAGAATTGTGCCTTAACTGTTCTTTTGCTGAGTAGAATCGGAACCAGATATCAGAAATATCGTACCATGAAAGGTTTTTTTTAATAAAAAGGACTATCTCAAACTTTCGTTTAATTCCGGACGAAATGAAAAAAAATTGTTGACATGTGTAGTTGGTACATAATTATAGTTATTACAGTTATTAGTTGTTAGTTTATAGTTATTTTGCCTGTTCAGTTTTTATTTATTGTATATTCTTGGAATAAAAAATCATTATAATTGATCATTTTACCGATTCTAATTGGTTTCCATTAACACAGGCAGGGAAGTGCAATATCGTATCGTTCACAACAGAAAACCATTCACTAATAGTTTTTGAAATTTTAAAAATATGTAATTTTAATGAAAACCGAAAATTTTAATAATTTCATTTAAAAAAGCCAGTTTTCTGGAAAATAAATTGTAGAAAAATTCGACAGATTGCGATTGAGAAGCTCTTTAGTCAGTTTTTATTTTAAACGGAATTTCACAATTTTTAGTGAGAAATTTATTGAGAAAAACCAGCGCAAGCTTCATTTTTCTTATCTCAAACGGTATTTTTGATTATTTATTTGCGAAAGTAGCAAAGTAACGCCTTTTTCATTGTCATCTTCGTCATGAAGCGTTAGATTTCCTATAAGGATATGGGTTTTCAATATTTGTTCTTATTTTATTTACACTTAGTGATTCAACCGTCTGTGGATAATATTTATTAACATGCAATCATTGCGAATAAGTCCATCTGAGTCAATACGCCAGATTACTTTTTGTAAGGTGTAGCATCTACGATCCATAATTTTGGACGGTTTGCTGTGGTTCAATCGATTCGAGAACAATTTCATTGAATTCAGCCTATAGATAAACATATTCATGATGATCATTGGTGATACTTGTTCCATTTTTAGAATTTGGTCTACAATTTTGGACTGTTTACTGGGGTCCAGTCGATTCGAAAAAAGTTTCATTGGATTCAGCGTACCATATTTGGGGAACTTACTTAAATAGCTTGTGTGTTACTGAATTTATTCAGCTTTTTTTGCGTTTTGGCCCCACTGAGCGTCGCGTTGACGGGGGACCGGCGGGTTCAGTTCATGTCGACAGACGTGCTTGTAACTCCTTCAACCTGATGATGATCGTTTAGTGCTCGAATCGAAATAAACAACAAATCAGTGAGTAGCACGGTAATTTACAAAAACTGAATCTACGTACTCACCCCACCTTCATCATTTCTAGTACTGCGACTTTAGTGAATGTTTGAGGTAGATATTTTGACCAAAAATGTCACTTGTAAGTTAAATTGAAACGCCAATTTATTTCGTTTTTTGTTTTTTTGAGACTTTTTAAATAAATATTTATGAATAGACTAACTTCTTATCATTCATCAGCTATTCATAAAATTATAATTTATTAATTATATAAACCAATTTCAGATGCTGTGCATTTGTTTTGAAACTTTAAAATAGAAAGAAATAGAAATTTAAAATTTAAAATAGAATGGAGATATTTTGAAGTAGTATCGTTCCGCCAATAATTACAACTTTATTCATCATGGGGTGGTTTTAATTAAGATGAATCAATCCGAGCCGTCTCGTCATGCAATCCAAACTGTTTTCTTTTCCTCCCCGGCGATAATTTAATTTTAAACGACCCGGCGGCTCGCACTTGCTGGGAGTACAAGTCCGAGTCCACGGCGGTTTTCGTTAGTCTGGCTAATTAAAGATTCATCCCTTTCAACGGGACGGGTAAACGAGATGAATACTTAAGGAAGACCTCGGCAGTGATTTATTTCCAAGTTGGTTGCAAAATTTTCCAGGGGGTTTTCGATGTTGGTTCGACTTTGTGAAAAGTCCCGAAAGCCTGTAGAATTATTGTTCCCTCGATGAAATAAAATCATTAATTAATACATTTAGTGCAGACACAAGACATTAATACAGCTTAATATCTCAAAATAATCAACAAAAATAAAACATATTTTTAACTAAGCCATAAATAATGTTAACGCCGACTCTGAAAATTGTGAGATGTTCATTTTTCATTGGAAAAAAGAAAAAGTAAGAAATAAGACAACATGATAAACTGCTTAGGATAGGCGGACCACAAAATGATAATGATGTGTCATCTATTCACCCTTTTCTGAGGAAAACTTAGAAAACAAATCGTATGTTTTGCTGAACGGGCAACTTTTCTCGGGAAGCAACCGATTTATTGTGTAAAAGCTAACAACAATAAACATTACGATTTTTCACCGGTAAAAAAATTTGGAACCGTCCGTGAAAACAAAATGTTTTAGTTTAAAAAAATTGACCTAATTTACTAAAAGTATTTTTTGACTTTTAGGGCTTTTTATACATCCGATCACCTTTAATGCTATATTAATGTATTATATATAAGAAATGTGTAATGCTCTCATTGCCTCCTAAATTAATGATTGTTCAGAAATCGTGAGACGCGGCCTAGTATGAGGTAGGTTTCAGAATTTTCTTTATCGTGCCAACGTTTC